TAAAAAAATATATTTATTTATTTGAAGTCTATTTTTCTAGCGTTTCTTAGATACTAAGTTATTAATAATTTTCTTATAATCAATAACTCCTAATAAGTCTTTTTTAATTGTATATAACTAATTTATTTAATATTTCTTGAGACATTCATAATCTTAGGTAAGATTTTATCAATTTTAATTTCGAAAACTTCTTTCCACTGAAGCGAAGGTAAAAAGAGTTATTAACATTATTTCATAAGCAATATAGGCATTGGAAAAAGAATCAAATCTTTTTATTTGACCGAGTGTATCAATTAAATCGCTATCTTCTAATTGCACTATGTTCCTTAATACTTTTAATTCTGAAAATAAATCTAAACCATCAATATCGCATTGATTATTATGCTTTAAGGAACATTCAAGATTAAGGCAATATTTTTTCAATTTTTTATCATGTAGTGATCTTAATTTTTATCGCTAAATAGAAAACCAAAAATATTTTCATATGCTTCGAATTGTTCAAATCTATTTTGAAATAGCTTTGTCTACTATGTATAAAGTAATCAACTCCAAAGGACTGTTCGAAAGATTTTATTGTTAATATTCTCATCAAATTGTTACTTCCTATATATCACACGTTTCTCACGAAATTCAGATTCGATATTTATTTCAAGTACAATTTTCTTGATAGAAATCATAGCAGATGCAAATCTCTCTTCTCTATACTTGTTAAAGAAAGAAATCAAATTTTTCCACTTCAGAGAACCTTTTCTAAAACTTATACATAGCTTATTAGGTGCAACAAAAAATGAGGCCCCTATAAATGTGGGGCCTAAAGCAGTTGTTTTACTTGATTTATGAAAGGGTCGTCCCTGCCAATACAATGAATAGAAAACAAAAAATATATATATGCTTTGACTTTAGACGAGAGTTCATTAGAGCTAAGTATCTGATTTGAGAACAGATTGAAGGGGTAATAAATGAACAGAAAGGAGGCGTAAAGTTGAATCAATCTGAAACTTCCTTAAGGTCGTCTCCTAACATGTGCGAAGCCCAAACTATGGCGACTGCATCTCCAACTGTTCAGTACCCCTTAGTCTAAACCTTTGCCGCTTTATCATTTATACAATATTGATTATTCAAAAATCATGATAATAATGCATAATTAAATATGGGCCGTCCTATTGAATTTTGTATTTCCCGAGAAGGTTTGTAGTTGTTTCTCCCCAAAGATTGCTTAAAGAACAATCAAATATCCCATAATTTCCTTCCTCGGGATCGTTTATTTCTTAGAATAGTAGAGATAATTCAGGTTCGAAGTGGCAAAAACGACGCGTTTATGCAGCAAGTGGAGTACAAGAGAATTGAATAAATCAAATATGCAGGGCATTTTCGGGTAAAACTAATAGTCTGAACCAACTGAATATTCTTAGGTTATTGGTATCGAGTTATTGGATTAGTGGTTCAGTAACAATTTAGTATTATTTAGCTATTGGATTATCGATTCGGGATTTGATTTGTTCAATTTTATCAATAATTTAACAGATAACCCAATAAGCTTTACTAAAATTACAATTTTACCTTAGATATATAACGCCAAGACCTTCAGAGATTAGTATATGTGGTTATTACGTGTAAGTTGGCTGAAGAGTAGGCAGAGATGCTTACAACAACAACAACAAAAAAAAAACTCAATTGAATCCCACAAGTGGGGTTTGGGGACAGTAGTATGTACACAAACCTTATCCTTATCTTGCGATGGTAGAGAGGCTATTTCTGGTAGGCCCTCGGCTCAAAAGAAAGATGAAAAACAGAACAACAAATAGTAATAGAAATCTATGACTATGAAAATATAAGATTAACACTAGTACTACTGGTATGGATAAGAAAAACGCTCGACTATTTAACCTTCTACCCAAATCCTCGACCACCACACCCTCTTATAGAAGGTCATGTCCTCGGTGAGCTGAAGCATCACCATATCTTGCCTAGTCACGTCTCAACAATATTTATTTGGTCTACCTCTACCTCTCCTAAGAACCACCAAAGCCAACCTCTCGCACTTCGTCACTGGGGTATTAGGACCGAAAAAGGTTAGGTGTCATGCGGAAGCTAGCAGAGCAAACCTTGAACAACGATAAATCATGCAACAAAGAGAGATATACCAAATTTACTATATAAAAAAGAGTACAAAATATCGAGAGAACAACCTCACGAAGAGGTAAACACAAGTGACACACTAACACTTATCCTGTAAAGTTCTCCCGCTAAACACGACTCTCAAACCCCATATGGCTATATTGTAAATGCTACTGAATGAGAAGGTCGGATCTTCAATATATAGAACTCCAAACCTTTTCCTACAAGAAAAGGGACTATCCAAATATGGAAGAATTATATTTTCCTTCTAGGAAAAGAAAAACCCAATTATGGTAAATATGTTGTCATTTCCTTCATGAGATAGGAAAACCAATTATGGTAAGAAAATCTGGACAAACACCTACCAATTCTCCCACTTGGCCTGAATTTTCTGATAAAATAAACTTGATCCACCTTCCTTACATATCCTTCAACATGTTGCATCTCCAAATCTCCACCACAAAGTTTGTCTCAACGTGCGTACCTCGCCGGTCAAATTTCTCAGACAAAAATTATGATTATCATCAAATAGGTTGCGGCTAGAACTAAACTCGCCAAGATGAACCTGTCTTGAACCTCGCTCTGATACCACTTGTTAGGACTAAAAAAAGGTCAGGTGTCATGCGGAAGCTAGCAGAGCAAACCTTGAACAACAATAAATCATACAACAAAGAGAAATATACCAAAGGAGACACAAACATGTAACGTGGTTCGATCAATTGATCTACATCCACAACGGAGATGAGCAGTCCACTATATAAAAAAGAGTAAAAAAATATCGAGAGAACAACCTTACGAAGAGGCAAACACAAGTGACACACTAACACTTGTCCTGTAAAGTTCTCCTCCTAAACACGACTCTCAAACCCCATATGGTTACATTGTGAATGCTACAGAATGAGAAGGACGGATCTTCAATTTATAGAACTCCAAACCTTTTTCTACAAGAAAAGAGACTAGCCAAATATGGAAGAATTATATTTTGCTTCTAGGAAAATAAAAACTCAATTATGATAAATATATTGTCCTTTCCTTCATGAGATAGGAAAACCAATTATGATAAGAAAATCTGGACAAACACCTAACATAGGGTATATGTGCTTCTCCTCTTTACATGCCCAAATCATCTTAACATTGCTTCTCGCATCTTGCCCTCCACAAGGGTCACGCCCATATTGTCCCAAATAACTTCATCCTTAATCTCATCTATCCTGGTATGCTCGAACATCCATCTCAATATTCTCATCTCTATTGCATTCATCTTATGGATATGAGAGTTCTTGACTGGCCAACACTCTATCTCATACAATATAGTCGTCTAATCATCGCTCTGTGTAACTTACCTTTAAGTTTTGGTGGCACATTCTTATCACATAAAATACCGAAAGCGAGCCTCAATTTCGTCTACCCCGCTCCGAAACAATGTATGACATCCTTGTCAATCTTCCCATTTTCTTGGTTCACTGACCCAAGGTACTTGAAACTTCCTCTCTTAGGGATGACTTATGTGTCAAGCTTCACGTCTTTGTCCGCTTTATTAGTCACATCACTGAACTTGCACTCTAAGTATTTTATCTTGGTCCTTCTTAACTTGAAACCTTTAGACTCCAAGGTCTTCATCCAAACATCCAACCTCGCATTAACACCACCTCACGTCTCATCAATTAGTACAATGTCATTTGCAAATAACATGCACCATGGCACCTCCCCTTGAATGTGACGCATTAGTGCATTTATTGCCAAGGCAAATAAAAATAGGCTGATAGATGATCCTTGGTGCAACCCCATCACAACTGAAAAATTTTCTGATTCTCCTCCTACTGACCTCACCTGAGTCTTAGCTCCATCATACATGTCCTTAATCCTCGTAATGTATGCAATAACACCTCTAACCTCTAAACATCTCCACATAACCTCCCTCGAAACTTTGTTGTATGCCTTTTCTAAGTCGATAAACATCATATGTAAGTCCCTCTTCCTCTCCCTGTACTGCTCCATCAATCCCCGAACAAGGTGAATAGCTTTCTTAGTTGAATGCCCTGGCATGAATCCAAACTTGTTCTCGAAAATAGACATACTACTCCTCACCCTCAACCCCACCATCATCTCCCAAACTCTCATAGTATGACTTAGCAGCTGATACCTCTTATAGTTATTATAGTTTTTTATATCACCATTGTTCTTATAAAAAAGGATCATCGTATTCCAAACTCCATTCCTCAGGCATCTTCTCCTTCCTAAAAATGATACTGAATAATCCAGTGAGCCACTCCAAGCCTGCCTCCC